CTTTCGAATTCTTGTTACTTTTCTGAGTTTCCGAAGGAAGAATCAGAGGAAGGCGTAATCAGCCGGAGGAGAAATGGGTGCTTGTGCGTCTAAGCCGAAGGTGAAGGGCGCCAACGAAGCAGCACCGGCGCCGGCACCGGCACTGGCACCGGTCAAGGAGGACGGGACCATTGCTGTCACCGAGAAGAAACTTGAGGTTCCGGCGGTGGAAGTCGCCGGAGAGGTGAAGGAAGTCGCCGATGGCGACAAGGTGGATGATCAGAGTGTCAAACGCCGCTCCCTCAGCCACTTGTTCAACGAGGTATTTCGTAATCCTCTTCTCCTTTCTCCGATTAGGTTTTCCTTTTCTTCCGATTTCAAATTGCTAATTAGTCCTTGAGTTTCTTTCTTTCTATTTATTGTTCCTTGAAATCCTTTTCTCTTTCTCGGTTCTTTATTGAATGAAGTGGAGGATTTTTGTTGTTGATTCTTTAATTAGGGGATTCTGCCGCCGTTTTGGTTCTCGACAAAGAATTGGCCGAGAGAAAAAAAAGAAAATGGAGAGTATGTTGTTTTATTGATGCCTCCTCGTTTCTCGGTTTCTGGATTGGAAAGAAATTCAATGAACATTCTGTCGTTTGCTAGCCTTTTTCTTAATTTCGAATACCTTTTCAATCAGCTTTTCGGAGTTCCAAGTTTATTGTCGAATTTGGCGGTTTCTCGGGAACCAAACATATTTGTTTACTCTTTTCCAGAAGGAAACTTTTATCCTCTTTTTGACGCAAAGGGAAATGAACAGTTCTACCACGGTAAAAAGCTATGAAATGCAACGCAATTATATTTTGCAAATTGGCCCAGTTCTTCATAATTTGTGTTGTCGGTATCCTAAAATTTAGAGATTCAAAATTTGAAGAAATTTCTTACCCTGTTTCGAACGGTCTTCTTCTTGATTCTAGCACTGCTATTTGTTTGATTGGACGTTTGGTTATATAATATGCAACACCCAGAGGCTTGATTTTTTGAGTCCGAATCTGCTGTGCACTAAAGAATCAATCTATGGAATCTTTCACATTCTACAACACATTCGTTTGGTGACAAACAAAAATGTCCTTTCCTTGAGGGGCCGGGCCCCTTTTTCCTCCTCTTTCTTCTGTTATTTGTGCTCATGTGTTGCCTCCTTTCTGTGGCTGTTTCACGGCTCACTGAACTTTACCTGTTTGTCTGCACCTTATAGAAGTTTCTTTCATTCCCATGTGATGTTGATGGGAAAAGGGTTGATGCATTTTTCACCCGCACGTTTGGACACGACGTGAACCCAGGGCCCTGGTTATACGGTCCCTTCAACCGAGAAAAACACCGGTGGCTTCGAGTAAAGATTGAATTGTAGGTTATGAACTTATAACAAGATAGTTGTCCCCACGGTCAGGGGTGGAGCTAGAAATTTCAATGAATTGCCTCTCCCTCCACCTCGTTTTTACGTCTCTTTTTTTACTCATAGTTTGTTGAAGGTTGCGTTGTATCGATAATGAATGCTCATCAATGCGATCTTGCTATTGCCTAGTGGTGGGAGCCCAGATTGATTGTGTAGATTAGTGTGATATGTATTCATAAATGGTTAGCTAGCTGTAGCTGTTGTGGTTTGCAATTGTCGGTTGGAACTGCTTCCAATATCATATGATATCTGAAAATTAAATTTCTTTGTAGATTCTAAATCCTCTTCCATCTTATTCTTAAATTTTTATGTGACATCTTCTGTCCCATTCTTTGTGTTTAACTGTAAATTTTGAATACTCTGCAGAAAGAAGGGAATGAGTCAATTGAGAGTGAGAGGGCAGCAGGGGAAACAGAGACAGAGGATTTGAAAGAGGTTGAAAAACATACAAAAGAACCCGAGACAAAGGCGCCTCAAACTCTAGTAGTGACCGAAAAACATACAACAGAACCTGAGACAAAGGCGCCTCAAACTCTATTAGTGACCGAAAAACATACAACAGAACCTGAGACAAAGGCTTCTACGGCTGTACTACAAATCGAAATACATACAAAAGAACCTGAGACAAAGGCTCCTCAAATTATAGTAGGGATCGAAAAACATACGACAGAACCAGAGACAAAGACGCCTAGAGCTGTACTACAGATCGAAATACATACAAAAGAACCCGATACAAAGGCGCTTCAAATTGGAGTTGAAACCAAAGAACAACATACAGAAGAAGTTCAGACAGAGGCACTCCAAACTGTAGTAGAGATCGAAAAACAACATACAGAAGAAATCGAGACAAAGGCACTTCAAACTGTAGTAGAGACTGAAAAACATATAGAAAATTCTGAAACAAAGGTGCCTCGAACTGTAGAAGAGACCGAAAAACTTACCGAAGAAACT